TCGAAACAAGTTTGTCTTCCTCATAATGATACTATAAATGACTTTTGATGATTTCCTGAGAATGATATAAAATGAGAAATTTCTATAACTCTCACATTTAATTTTTAGAGCTTTTGATTTCGAAGACACAACCGAAAAAATTGAGCTGGATATGACTGAAAATTAATTAACATTCTTATTTCAAGGAAATAATTTGACTAATACAAAATGTTACAGTTAATGGACTTCAATACAACCGGATTCTCGATGTTGACTCCAAAACAACTAATCATGCTCTATGGGCCACAATCACCTCTAAACAACAGTAAAGCATTGGATTTTTTCATGTCATTAAGTGAAGATGATATGCACCGTCATCTCATTAATGATATCCGTGATATGGCTAAAATGCATTCTTCACTGAAAATACGCCGGAAACGTCAAACCATACTTTCTCCTTCAGCTTTCGTTGACAGTATTTTTACTCCATTAACTTCACCATTTATCCTTTCACCTGCAGCATTTTCACTGGTACTTTTTTCTCCGTCATATTTCGGTACCGCTGTTTTAAGTCCAGCTGTCTTCCTTCCCACACTTCTCTCTCCATTGCTCTTGAGTCCCGCGGTCTTATCACCAAGTGCACTTTCTCCCATTATCCTGTCACCATTGGTCATCAGTCCCGGAATTCTAAGTCCTGGTGCTATCGCACCGTCCATTTTATCGCCGAGCATATTATCACCGAGTATTGCATCACCATCTGTACTTTCACCCGCTATTATGAGTCCATTTGTTCTGAACCCTTCGATCCTTTCACCCGCAGCACTTACCGCTCTCGTGGCAAGCCCATTTGCCTTTTCACCCTCTTTTTTCTCGCCGGCATATATCACTGCTGTGATCTTTTCACCAAACGCATTCTCTCCTCTTTTTAATTCAACCGGTAAAGCAGTTACTTTACTATTTTCACCCAGTGTAGGTAGTTGAATGTATTTCCAAACAGCTTCCAATGTTCGAATATTTACAACCTTTTCGGCACAATTTTTTTTAATTTATTTAAAAAAGACTGCCAATTTTAAAGTTTTTCATCGGTTTTTTTTTTCTCGAAATATATGTTTTCTTTCC